TTGTTTCAGACTTTGGGTGACTACAGACAGAGAATCTGGAGGAACACATTAGAAGAGGCTTAGACACAAGCCACTTGAAGCAGGACATTCCTATCAATTGACAGTATCATTGTGAATGGTACCCGTATACTACAGGATGGAATAACTTAGTTTTTCATCAAGATCATCACCAGAGCAATGAATGCCTATAGTCATTACATTGTCATAGTATAGCATTTTTTTTCCTTAAAGAGAAGAGTTAGTGAATTCTTTTTTAATTTCTAAGCCCATTAGCCCACAAGTGAAAAAACAGAAACTCATGGATTGATTTTAAGAAGATAAGCCAGAGACTTCTAGGAAAGACGGCAGTATGAGACCTAGGAGATACCTTCCTAAAAAAGAATTCTAAAAAATCAGGGACTGCAAGGACTTAAAATGGGGCGATTATTAGTACTTACCCTACAGGACAGTGGTCACTGGGTGCCTCAACACTTTTGGAGTATCTGCTAGAATCACTGCATTCAGAACCAAACCCTGACATGGAAAACAACATGCAACTTGCCTTCTCAAGACAGTGAGTGATCTTACAGGAAGGACATCTGGGAAACTATCAGTTTCCCTGAAATCAGAGTGGTGAGAAGCAAGAGGCACAGGAAAAACACCTGCCACAGGTCAACAGCTTTCTGAGACTACTGAGGCACAGGTATTTTGGCACAGCAAGAACCAGCCCGGCCTTGCTCTGCACTGCCTTAGTTTTGGTTTCCCAAGAACGTCACAGACATGTTCCCAGAATATAAAGCCTTCCCTTCCCAAAGCTGGCCTCTGGTATGGTATTCATAAAATGAAGGAGGAAAATAGTTCGTAAAGACACAAGCCCCCGATGGTGACTGACCAAGACTGGACTCCCTCCTGACTCCCTTAGACTCTTATTAAGTCAGTGAATAATACAAAATACCTCCTTCATTACCCCAGTCTCCAGCATGAATTTTGAGAAGAGGATTCAAATGCTAAGCAAGTATAGTTGGCACAAATAACCTTTTGACAAAGAGCAAACCTAATACAAAGTAAAGAAAATTAAAAGTTAAATCTATATATGTATGTATGTATGTATGTATCTATCTATCTATCTATCTATTTATCTGGCATCTATAAAAAATATTCCCCCTAAGGAGAGAAAATTCTTATATGCAAGAGACAGAGTGCTTATTTGGAGTATGAATTCTAAGGAAAGAGAGGTAGCTTTGGAACATACATACTTTATATTTTGACAAAAAATGAAGTCTTTGATTAGTCTGGATGCAATGGAAACTGGCCTAGAAAAGAAATTAAGTAAACAAATAATGACATCAGAATTTAAAGTCTCTAATTTAAAAGATACTAATGAAGCACAGAATGATTCTGTAGAAGAAAAAAATCTAGTTAGTAACAAGACAAATAAAATTGAGGAAACCATCTTATAAACAGAAAAAAAGGGCAAAAAAATAAACGGTGACCCAGAAAAGTGAACAGATACAGTAACTAACTGAATCCACAGTTATCTGGTCCTGAACAAGAACTAAAAACAAGAAAGAAATAATATTCAAAAACATTCCTAAACATGAGCATTAAATATGGGTAAATAAGGATCACTTTTAACTAAGGATTACTTTAGGAAGCAAAATTAGTAAGAAGCAACTCAAAATAAGACTGTCTATAATGAGGTTGATGAATTTAGATTACTTTTTGTCAAGCAATTCAATAAAGTAAAAATTAATAATAAAGTAAAAGGAAGAATGAGGTTAGTCTTACAAAATTTTTGAAAATATACTTATAAGTATTCTTGGGTTTAATAAAACATGAAATATATCGTAGAATATTTGAAAACAGACAAAGTAAAAACCCAAAGTACTTGCTCCTGTCCCCTCCTTCCCTCTCTTCCCCCTCTCCCTGTGTGATGAAGTGAATGACTAAAGGTAACCGCAATTGAAGATTTTGTAAAATACTGTAGTGAGAATATTACATATCTTTAAATGTAGACCATAGCTAATGCTTTAATGAAAGGAAAATGCATGGCCTTAATCATTTGCATTACAAAACATGGAACAATGAAAATAAATGCAGTAACATTTGTAACTTATTAAGGTAGAAAAGACAGTATAAAATATAAATAAATAACATAAAATAAAGCGCTACTTCTTTGAACTGATGGAACAACTATGCCAGCTAGACCAACACGTGTGTGTGTGTGTTATAAAGTTATAAAAATATACAATATTGAAGAATAGAAGGCACCAAGTTATGGATCACTGTTGCAATCCATAACCAAAACTAATATTTAATGTCAAAGGCAAGATATTTTTTAAGTAAAAATACTTAATATTTTTAAGTACCTTCATAGACTTAAAAAGTATGTCCTCAATTTAATATCCACTCTCAAATTTAATTTAATTTAATTTATTTATTTATTTATTTATTTATTTATTTCGGTACCAGGGATCGAACTCGGGTCCTTGCTCTTGCGCAGCAGGAGGCGAAACCATTGAGCTAAATCCCCAGCCCCACTCTCAAATTTTATATAACTCCTAGAAAATATGAAAATATTTGTCTTTATGTTTGTGATGCTTCTATGGAAACACATAAATGCAAACACACACATATACACATCTAGCAGCAGGCTTAATGTTGAAATATTAGTTAATCATTTCCACTAAGATCAGTGAGATAGGCTGGTTACTGCCTTATTAACACTATCCTCAAAGTGCTAGCCAGTGAGAAATGTAATTTTCCACCTGAAGTACTCAAGAGAATCAAATGAAAATCAACACACACAAAAAAACTTTTGGAAAGTTGCTTGTTTCAAAACTGATAAATATAAACAGTTTACTTATGTCTCAAAATTGATTGGCAGAATATTTGAGAATAAAAGAAAGAAGAAATCCAAAATACCCATCCCTGGAAATTAAGGAATATTTCCTGGATAAAAGACTTAATTCACAAAACCATAAAGTTACAAGAAATAACACTGATAAGTATGAATAAAACATGCTAAAATGTGTTTCATTTCTATTTCATGTCTGTTCAAAGTGAAGACACAGAGAAGAGGGTTGTGAGGGTGGAAAGGGAAGTGGACCAATCCTCTGTCTCTTTATCTCACACACGTAGAACAGAACACAGATGTCAGACCCACTGCAAGAGAAGTCTGAAATGCATACACATACATATTTGAGCATTAGCACAAGTATTTTAAAAGATAGCATAAAGAAGAAAGACATGGTTTTCCTAAACCATCAAGCAACATCTATGTCTTATGGCCTTTAAAATTATGGTAAAAAGGTGACATGATTATTTATTTTTATAACCTGAATCATGTGTGGAGAAAACACTTCCTAGTGTTCAAGTTACACAAAATCTAGCTAAAGGCTGGCCTGATCCAAGGAGAGAGAATTTCTCACTTTATTTTAGACATTTATATCTGAGGTATAAGTAAAAATTTTATTACGAAAGGCTTTCATTTTCCTAGCTCACATTGCCTATAGATTTTTGAATGAGGCTAAATTTTCTTCAGTGATTTAAGAATACATTGTTCTACTTATTTATTTGTATCTTCATGGTCTCTGAATATCAGCTTAAGTCAGTTATTTTCTAATAACAAACTACTCTGTGAAATTATAATGTGAAAATATCTTTACTTGAAAAACTGTAACTTGAACTCTCTAATTGGGACACATGCTCCTAAATTTAATAATTATATGTTCTTTTCAATTCTTTTAATCTTGTACTTGGTGTGAAATTTATATTCCAGGAATATGGCTCAGTCTGCTCTTTTTGTTATAGGTTTTGTGGGTTCTTGGACATTACACATTGACTTATTCTCAGAACTGAGTCTTCAAATAATTGGTGTTAGAAGGTGATTTAAAAAATGCTTTCTTATCCTGAAGACAGAACAACGTCTTATCCTATTTCCCCAGACAATCTTTCTCTGGACATCTGTTACCTTTATAATTAACAAAACATAAATGGCCTTTCAAACACTTATCAATGAATAAAAATAGCATATAAAACATTTACTTGAGGTCAATGTCCTAAAAAGAGAACAGCACTTCTTTCCTCCAGTGCTCTCTCTTTTAGTGGGAGTCTACCGCCATACCACCTTGAATGTGCCTGATCTCATCTATTTCAGTGAGAAAGCAATGATGGGAATAACAGCCCCTTACCCAGCACCAGGCAGGCCTGGGCCTCAGACACTTTCTACCCATTCATAAGAATGCTCCTGTCATCCACTGTGTATAGATAAAGGAAGTGGGACTTGGGGCACTTATCAGAGTCCTCAGTTTGTTTTCCAAATCTCTTTGACATTTAAGCCACGCACCAAATTCTTTCATTACTGTTTACCCTTGATTTACCAATAAATCAATGAATAAACTAAGCAATAAATCAAGTTTTCTATAGCATATCACATTTCTATGGCATAGAATCCAAATTTATAGAGGTTCTTAGCCTGGGATTCATAAAAAGGTTTAGTATGTGCCTCAACGCCCAGAAAAAATATGAAATGTGGTGGGTATGCCTGCATTTCATCTTCCTAGGGAGGTATTAAATACCTCTCATCAGATTACCAAAGGGATAAAAAAGCAGCACAGGCTTTAAAAAAAAAATCCCTGGAGACAGAGGCTGTGTAACATACTTAACGTAATGAGATCACAGGACATTCGATCTTGAAGGGTGTGTAATGGACATGCTTGACAAGGCCATTTTCATACCATCATTTGATAATTTTACCACTACTAATTTTCCAAGACTTGTCAGCTTGTTTTTTGTTCATTATTTGGCTTCTGATCTTTGCTGACGTGTTTCAAAAGAATGACTGGGCAATGTCACACTGCATATTTTAACAGGAAAAATAACACTGAGAAGTTGGTAATGGATACTGATCAAAGTACAGCACAAAGACATTCTGGCAAAAACAGGAAATAAACCATTTCATGTCTACTTTGTGACCTTAACAGTTCATAATTCCATACTGAGTGCATAATGTTTCTTACCAAGGCACCAAGTGACCTTGAATAGCACATGTCCTTTTCTCTGGAGGAATTTCTTGTCCAAATAACTTTTCTGCATGGAGTTGAGGTACACTGATGAGTTGCCTAAAAAAATGTTTCTGAGTTAACTCTTGTACATTCCTGGTGGGAACAGAAAACAGTGTAGCTATTGTGGAAAAAAATGGTATGACAGTTCTTCAAATGTTAAAAATAGAATTAGCATGTGATGGAGCAATTATATCTCTAGTTATAAACTCAAAAGAACTGAAGACACAAGTCTGTAATAGATATGTACACCCACGTCCACAGCAGCATTATTCACATTAGGCAAAATATGGAAACTACTCAAGTGTCCGTTAGTGGATGATTGGATAAAGAAAATGTGGTACAAAATGTGGGACAGTATTATCCAATCAGAAGGAAATTGACATATGTATAACATAGATGAACCTTGAAGACACTGTACTAAGTTAAATAAGTCAGACACAAAAGGATAAAGACTATATGCTTCCATGTATATGAGGAACACAGAGTAGTCAAATCTAAACAGAAAGAATGATAGTTACCAGGTTCTGCAAGGCAGAAAGAGACAACGTTTAATGGGTACAAAGTTTTGGTTTAGAAGATGAAAAAGTTCTGGAGGTGGATAGTGGTGATGGATACAGAACAATGTGAACACATTTAATGCCACAGAAAATGTTCCTGCATTACCAGCTGTAATGATTTTGATGACAGGCAGGCGTTAATTTTTTTTTTTTACTACTTGTGGTCAGGATTCACCTTCTTTACTTAATCTGTTACAACTGTTATACCAATCTGCATCATTTCCATACTTAGACACACAGTGTTACTGAATATATACTGCACTGCGTTTATCAATTTTGCAAGATCCGTAAGGGTGGGGACTGTATGACTATTATTACTGGAGTCAGATGTCATGAGCTACAAAAAAAAAAAACTCAGAATGTTTGCTGAGCTTATCACTTTAGTTAAGACTTGAATTCTCTATTTTATCTACTAAGTATAGTTAGTTGATTGTTCTCACAGATGGCCAATTGAGAGGCACTACTAAACTATATTTTCCCAATGACAATCCTTATTTCCTACTTGTTCAGTAATCAGCTGAAGAGAAAAACTGTACAAAGTTCAACATCCCCAAGAGAAAAACCTCTTGGTCTCTTAAAAAAGCCCCACAGGCTGCTAATGGTACTCTAGGGGCCTGGGGCATTATTAGGGTTTGTTCTCCCTGGTGCTGAGTTGCACCTTAAGAATAGGGAACAGAGGCAGCAGCATCAATTCTTTCAAAACACTGCTGATGGGTCAGCCTGGCCACCAAGAATTACAGCACCTGCCACCTCCCTAATTTACAAGCCATCTCCTAACCTAATTACAGATATTTCATAGGATGATGATACGCCATCACACTTCTAAAATGTCAGTGTTTATACAGGCTGTTATGAATGTATGAGAGAACTCACAATTCACTAGCATTGGCTCAGGAGGTGACTGGGTTCTGCCCATCTCAGCCTTCAGAAACAGGCCCTTTGCAACTTAAAAATGACCACGGTGGGAGGCTGCATGCCATGTAAATGCTTCAAGTTGGAGCTCTTTATTTTCTGAAAGCCAATTATTAAACACTCCTGTATGTGTCTTGCGGTTTTTTGTTTGTTTTTAATTTTACACTAAAGAAAATTTCTTGGATTGCCTGGTTTTGAAACTAATCCCAATTCTGTTACTTTCTAGCTATGAGAGCACAGGCAATTTCCTTAATATCTCTGTGTTTCAGTTTCTTCTCCTATATGACAGGGTTAATAACTATACTTCAGGGAACTTTGAGAAGTAAATAATCTTGGTAAGCCAAATGCTTACCATTATCACACACCCTCTTCTAAGCCCTGCTCCGAGTTACTGGGTGAAAGCATACAGCCTGTGGGGACACACTGCGCGACCTCGCACATCACTTCCTTGAATACAGCAGATCCAAAGAGTTCCAACTTTGAGGCTGATTTGATCTATGACACCATTTTATCCAAAACCTTTATGGAAAAAGGTGTGCTAGTTTGTCATCAAAACCTAATCAGTAGTAAGACATGTATAATTTTTAAAAAACTTAGAAAATAGAAACTATGTGTAAGGGTATATTGTTAAATGGATTTTGTGGCAGTACTTATTAAAAATATGGCTCACAGGGCCAGGGATTTAGCTCAGTGGTTCTGCCACCTGCATCGCAAGCTCAAGGACCAGAGTTCGATCCCTGGTACCAAAAAAAAAAAAAAAAAAAAAAAAATGGCCCATATATCAACAGAAGATAAGAAAATGATCAAAAGTCATATTAATTATTTCCGTGTCAAAAAATACTTTGGATATTGATAGAAAGAAATGGGCCTCCTGATGATTTGACAAAGTATATCTGAGGTACAGATAGAGCATCAATCTTTTAAGTTACATCTAAAAGAAAATGAACTTCGAAGGGCCTGAGTGCAAGTCTTTCTTTTTCATTAGAGTATGTGGTCTTGTGTCCCAGAGAAGATAAAAAGTGGGAAAGATACATCTGAGCCCAATCTACATCCCAGGATTTGATGGGAATGAAGAAATAAAGAAGTAGTTTAAAATACGTACTTATCCAGAAATAGTGGTGTAAAGCTGGCAGGCTGAATACAGAATTTGTTTCACTCAAAAACTCCACTGATGTCTACTTAAAACATACAAGGGTGGGAAGAACAAGAGACAACAGCAACAGACATCTGGGTCATGAGGGTATGCTGTCATAAAGACAGTAAGTGGAAGCTGAAAGAATACAAAGAAGATTTAAACTGTCACTTGATATTGAGAAAAAGCTACTTCTCCTCACCTCCAAGCATGAGAAATGCCAGTGCTAAATGCCTACTATGGAGGTACTGGGACCAGAATATCACCTGGGAATTTAGTAGAAATGCACATTTTTGAGTGTCCCCATATCAATCAATCAGAAACTCTGAGGGTTGTTCCTAGCTATGATAGTTAACTTTTCTGTCAACTGGAGTAAGAAATGCCCAATTGACTGGATTAGCATAGTTCTCCCTGTGATTGAATTAATGAATTTACTGAAGATAGAAGACCCATTCTGAGTGTGAGTGGCACCAACCAATAGGTTTGTAGCCTGGACGGAACAAAAAGGGAAAGAAGCCGGAAGACTTGCTTGTTTCTTCAGAGGAGCTCCGGTCTTCACCTTCGCCTTGGAGGTCCATCTCCTGGCTTCCAGCACAAACTCGTTAGCCTTCCAGAGCAGCCTCTTCAGTCTACCACCAGGCACAGGTGCGCAGGCTGTCAACTGGGCCCCATACTTCAGACCCAACACCATACCAGGGAACAGTCAAATAGTACTAGTCACAGAGTCACTCCCAAGTCATGGACTTGCAGCCTCAAAAATGAAGAAACTTTTCAGATTTTTTCCTCAGAAATTAGAAACATTTTGGAGTAAGAGTTTAATAATGCACTTAGCATCTAACATTTATATAGTCATAAATGTCTTTACACTACAAAATTATTTCTAAAATCTTTAGAAAGCTTCCGGAAATAATTTTTTAAATATAAACATAAGACAGCGTTCTATTTATGAAAAAAGAATATAAAGCATGAATATCTATCATGAATAATAGGTTTTCCATTATCCAATTATCCCTGCAATGGCCAAAACTCTGGGATTTCAAATTCAGAAACTAAGAAATAACACAGGCACTATCTATGACCATGCCATTTACAAAGTTTTTATTTACGAGATCAGACAGAAAATATTTTAGGCTTTGTGAACCATACAGTCTCTTTTGCAGCTACTCAACACAGCTGTTATAGTGGAAAAATCACCCACAGACAATATGCAAAGGAATAACCAGGGCTATGTTCCAATAAAACTTTATTTGCAAAACAGGATGTAAGCCAAGTTTAGCCTGAGGGCTATAGTTTGCTGGACCCTGTACCAGACCATGAATCATGAGAATGCATTCCTGGGACCAGATGCTGGAGAGTACTTTCAAAGACACAGGTTATTAAACAGCTTCCAGGGCAGGTAGGCCTATCAATCTGCATGAGAGCTGGCAAGTCATTTATGCAGGGGATTCCGAATTTGTTCGAGCCAACTTCAACTGTCTCCCCTAACATCTAAAAGAAGACAGGGTATGCTCAGAAATGCATACATGGGAAAATACTAAGACAAAATAGGGAAGCTTGTTTTGATCAGAGTAACCTTTTATTTGTGATACTAGTTTTCACTAAATGTACCATGAGAAAAAGATTCGCTAAATTTTATCTGAAGGATTAAAAAACAATTAGTCCAAGAATATTTCAGAAAAATGCAGGAATTTTAAAAAGAAAAAAGGGGCTTGAGAATTGGTAAGATAGTAGATTCTGAAAATGTTCTCACCACACACACAAATAAGTATGTGAGGTAAAGTTAATTAGCTTGATTTACTCTTTTCACATTGTGTACATATTTCAAAATAATATGTTGTACATGATCAATATACACAATGTTTGTCAATTTAAAAATTAAAAAAAAAACTTTAAGTTGTGGTGGCCAAAATGTGAACTGATTTGACTAGAAAAATTTGAAATCTCTACTAGAATCTCTTCTAGAGCTATTTCTCAAAACATCACTGTATAGGCTACAGAATATTTTTCTAAATATTAAATGCATTACTTGTTCTTAGTAATAAAATAAGTTCATGACTACATTAAAAACGCTTGAGAGCAGTTTAATTTTTCCTTTCCAAAAACCTTTTCCCAGCCAATATCTGACTCATTTTGAGAAATCTGACAATCATGTTTTTTGATGATTAAGACTGTTCCATTATTCCTTCTGCGTGCCCTTGAAATAAATTCTGAAAATATTTCTATTCACCATTTTTTCATTCTAAAAATACATTTATCTTCCTTTTCAATTATGTTCAAAAGTTCATAGTACTCATGATTATATGGTAATCATATTCATGCAATGAACCAACACATTTTTTCTAAGTATCAATTACTAGTGAGACAGCAGGAAAAAACAGTTGAAATATAAACTGAATCAGACTACCTAGGACATGCAGTCAACGAACAAATGGTGAATGCTGATAATTCTTTGTTTTTCTGGAGACTTCATTAATATTTACTCTTTGAATAAAGTGCTCAAAAGGAACAAGGAGGAGGAGGAAGTGGAGGGGGAAGAGGGGAAAAAAAAAGACTAAGAACTCATTGAATGGTCTTGGATCCTGAAGACTCCTATTTTTTTCCTAAAAGTTTTATTTCATTTAAATCTTTATTTCACTTAAAGCTGTAGTGTAGATTTTGTTGTATACAGATCTTAGATCAAGGCTCACTGTTTTACCTATGGATGTCTAATTGCTCAAACATCATTTATGGAAAAAGCTATCCTCCTTTCACTGAACTTCTTTTCTACCTTTGTCAAAAATTAGGTGAGCCGGGGGCTGGGGATTTAGCTCAGTGGTTCCGCTGCCTGCCTTGCAAGCGCAAGGTCCCGAGTTGGACCCCCGGTACCAAAAAAAAAAAAAAAAAAAAATTAGGTGAGCATAAAACAGGGAAAAAGTTAAAGTAACTCTCTTTGTAAGTTTTGTTAGATTGATGCAATTTAGGGAGTTAAACTGAAGCAATTTAAAAAGGCAGGATTTCTCTAGTCCAAAAATAAGCCATAGAACACAAGTCTAGAATTCAAGTATTCGAGTGAAGGGTTCTGAACACCAGCACTCTTCCTGCGGTCCTTTCCTGTTTAACTGTGGCTTTTTCATCTTTGCAAATCGAAACAACACTGTACTTGATTTAGTATACATTCTGGCACTTCTTCACCAGTATTTTTTTTAATGTTTTATTTTGAAATAACTTCAGGCTTGCACAAACTTTGAAAGATACTACAGAGAGTTGCCATACACTCAACACTCAGGATATTCTCCAGTTATCACCAGCTTTTCAGGGGCTGACAAAACAAAAGACTTTCATCTTAAAGTGTTAACTATTTATACTGCCAGCTGAACAAAAAAGAAAATACATCTGGAAATAAAATTCAAATCTGTAGTTACTGTTTAAGTAAACTCTATAGAACTTGCAAATTTAGTATTCTAAACATTACCCTTCAGTTCCCAGCTCATGTGTCACCTCAGAACAGGTACAATATCCCATCACCATCTAGCGCAATATTCTTTTCCTTTCATTCACAGCATCTGCCTCACTCCCTAGCTATATTATTTGTGTGCTGGCTTACTCTCTATCCCCAAGGGCCTCACTGTCTTGCTTCTTGCTCCCCTGTTATAACCCCAGGGGATGGAATAGTGTCTGGTAGATACTCAATAGACTGCTGGAAAAATGAATGAATGCATGAAACCTACATAAATGAGTGAACAATTTGAATCTATTAGGGATGATGTAAGACACATAGTAAAAGACACATCTATTTAGATGATTGCTAGTTCTGAAATTTCAAACCTTTCCACATCTACCACCAGCCATTAGAGTTGAATTTTGGAGAGCCAAACTTCTTATGCTGGTTCATTGCAATGGTACTTCCTGGCAATATTCATTTAATGTGCAAAGTCAACAAAGTACATTTTTGAATCATCCTTAGACTAAAATACAAATCATTCCTCTGTATGGAAAAACAAATTTGAATAAGATCACAAATACTGGACTCCAATCTTACAGTGGTTTGGGAAGGAGAGACTGTGAAAAGATAGGTTAAAAGTTTAAAATGCTCTAGGGGGAAAGAAGCAGGTTTCTTTCTTCCTTCCCACTGACTACCTCTGACATTCAGGTTCAAAGAGTCAGCAGGTTGTATGAGGAAGGATAGGAAGAGGGGAAGGAAAGAAAGAAGGGAGGAAGGGAGGGAGGGGTACCTGTCCCCATATCTTCCATACTTATATTCTCCCTCCCATAGTCAAACAGTACACATTGTACTGCTTCCAGAATACACACCATAAAATATCCATTTATCAAATAAAAATACGAGGATGAAAACACTGGGGCACCTTCAGGCTCTCTGCTTCATTTAAGAGTGTAAATCTTTCTTTTGGGACCTGCACTATGGTAAGGGGTGGGCACTAAAAATGCATTCATTGCGGCACAAAGCAATCCACTAACCAAAGAGCACACTAATTTCACAGTCACTTCTGGAACATCTTCTGCTATGGTGTAATGAGTTGCAAATCATTCAAATTATCTGGTAAACTAAAGATTTAATAGACTAACCTCACTGCCAAGAAATATATCAATATTAATACTAAAAATAGAGTCAAGGGAAAAATTCATCTTCTGATTCCAAGCATAAATTCTGAAAACAAAACAAAACAAAACAAAAAACGTTCATAGAATGCGCAGCTTGCAAAATTTCCCAGGAGTACTAATGCCACAACCTTCCACTTTGGGGATCACTGACATGGGGAAAGCAGAAGGCTTCAGAGAGCTAGGAGGAATGTATTTGAATTGTGAAGACCAAACTCTCTGGGCCTCTGATGTTACATGGCATATGTAAAATAGCTCTGAAAGTAGTAAGTGCAAATATCAAAGATGACAAGTAGAACATAGTATGTACTACTAGTACTGTATTAGTCAATTAAATCACTCGAGCAAAGAGAAAACAATCAGTTGTCTTTTACTATGAAAGATTATTAAAAATTCCACATATTTCAAAAATGTGTGTATGCATTAACATGTAGGTTTGCCTGTATGTAAAACCAAGGATAACATTTTAGCCATTTTTAATTGTAGGTCTACAAGCTCATTAGTCAAGAAGGGAAGGGTAGGTTCTTATTTCCACATGACGCTAGATTGCAGACAGGAAATGGACAAAGATTAACAATATTTTTGCATGTTTTCTACTTCTTATCCTTAAAAAGGATAAAACAGAACTGTGAACTGACATGACTAAACATAATCTGGATTACAACATAATATTTTTAGAGCTGATATAAAAGTAGAATCATTTTCCTGTGACTTGGTAATGCCTCACTAATCTTTTGCCTATTCAACCCTGCCTTTGCTTTTCAACTTGTGTCACTCACCTTGTATCCTAGAATCAAAGTCTTCTAGGTTGGCTTTACCCTCAGAGCTGTTTCGAAGTGGTTTATCCTTAGATGCGCGTAGCTCCTCTTCTTCGAAAGCTGTCAGTCTGTTGGCCCTGCTGGGATTATGTGAGTAAATTGCAGAGGCAACTCCTTAAACTCCTTCTTTTACTAAACAGCAAGGGGCAGAGCCTGAAAAAGAAAGATTACAGTCATAAAATACATCTCTACAGAACTTCCTCGAGCCTTTCAGGAGGACTGCCTATGACCAATCAGAAAATCCCCCCCAGTATAGCTTTCAAAGAGAAAGTTCATACAGGAAGGTGTCTCTGCTTTTTATTTCCTTGGCTCAGTCTTATGTATGTAACCTCAGAAAAGTAACCATTAAACTCCTCAGCAATCAGTAACATTCATAATTTACATTTTGCCCAGAGTTTGGAGTGAGAATTCACTCAACTGATACAGCAAATATTTTCTAAGTGAGAACAAAGTATACTTTCCAGAACCAAGTTCAGACGCCTGATTAAATGTAAATCTCAGACAGTTTTTAAAAAGAAGTATGAGGTGCACATCATCACACATGTACAGGGATGTAGAAGCCCTAGGGCTCTGATAAAGACCTATTAATAATAACGTGCCTTATGAACCATTACCAGACTCCCAGAGCAATCCCAAGCCACAAGAACTGACTATACTACCAAAGAATACAGTTTGGAACTTGACATAATTTCTCAGAAAGCAAAGAAACAGTATACTATGAGAAATTAAATATGTTCCTTTTAAAGAAAAAGGAAGAAAAACCTGACAAGAAACCCTCAATGGAAGCTGTACTAGTTACCCTCTGATCCTGAAACAGGACATTAGTTTTCTCCTTCAAGCCTTAAACCCCTCTGAAGATGCATTTATTCACAAGACAATTTTAAAAATTACTACCCAGGTTTGTTTTTTTCTTTTCAATTCTGTTCTTGCATGCTGCTTTGCTTTTTTTCTCTTTTTACTTATGGAAAAGGAATAAGAAGTGTCCCCCTCCCCTACCCAGACTCTGACACACTATGACTTCTGAAACTGCAAAAGATGTGTCTAATCAGCATCCCATGCTGAGTGCTCATTTAAGTACCATCTTTCTGCAAAAACAAAAAAGTGTTTCTTCTAAATCTGTCTCCATCTTTTGAAAATTAAAAAAGTCTATAAGACAATCCTACGTATCTTAGAAGTCTAAATAAAATGTGATTGTTGACTATAATGATAACACAGAATAACTAAGGTTAGGGAAAATCATGATTATTTTTCTAAGTTCAGCAATATATCTTTTTATTTTCTACACACGCAGCCCAATGTATGCTCTTTAATCTCATACATTTATAGGCAGATGAATTACAAATGGTCAGTTATAAAACTCCCCAGGTCACATTTTCCTTGCTCTTTCGTATGTGGACTGGGCCAAGAAGGGAGGAAAGAAGCATGGTTAGAGCACCCTCTGCTATCCTGCAGTTCTTTCTGCCCACTCCCCGCACCCCACAGGCCTCTAGCCTTGTCTGTTCTCTACAAGTTCTTGAAAATGGCCATTTGGAAAGATAAAGAACAGAGGACCACTGGATAAGATGAAGACTCTGTTCCTGTTTCCCCCACTAAGAAGCAGCAGAAGGGAAATAGAAAAGCTGAATCTTACCTCCTACACCTAAGGAATGTTCCTTTTTCCCTCATCAAATCACACATACTGTATGTGCACCCTCATAACCTATGTAAATCAGACCTGGGACCAAGGAGTGTCTTTCTGCTCCCTTCTTTTCTCCCCCCACAGTCTTTGCCAATATGTCCTTCAGAATCCAGCTCAAATCACAGAGTTCCTAACTCCTTCACTGAACTTCTCAGCTAGAAAAGCAGCTGCTCACTGCACCTGGGCCCTTTGGTCATTCCCACTCCTGTAAGGCTGTCCTGGTCTTACAGGCAGCTAGCTAGTTACCCGTGCTTGAGCCTCTTATCTCCCCTACCAGGTATGTACACTTTGGGAAGCAGGGACCAGCACTTGGATTGCTGCACACAGAGTACGTGTGAGGGTTAAAAATGGTTTCAATTTATATTTGCTCTATAAGGAATTAATCTGTTTCTGTCCATTTTGCTTTTAAGACCACAAAAGTGAGTATTTTCACACTGTGTATGCAATGTCAAGAACTAAGAGTTTTGGCTTGTTCTGAAACTATAATGAATGTTCATGTGGACATACTGTACAATTTTCAAAAAGACAACCACCTAGATAGAGTGTAGTAGTTTCTATAGCCTTCCAGGGCACTGAGCACTCAGGGTTAAAAATGAGTACCGCACTATTATCACATGGGCCCGGGATAACCAATCATCTCTGATACTCACTCAAGTCAGGAATCGCAGAAATATATGTCTTAATTTGGTTTCAAAAGGTTGATTAGGACAGAGTTTTATAGAGTCACACTTGCATTCCATAATTCCAGATGACTGATATATTAAGTTTTTTTGTTGTTGTTGTTACCGGGGATTGAACTCAGGACCTTGAACTTGCCAGGCAGGCGGCAGCACCACTGAGCTAAATCCCCAGCCCCTAACATATTAAGTTTTATTTGAAAACCAAGAGTTCACCAAGTGGCAAGTCAACCTTACTTTAATTAAGAAACTACACAGGGCCCTATTTTACTTTGAACATAAACAGCATGCAGGGCAGAAGTCCAAAGGTGATACGTTATCAAGTTTGAGCCTTATGACTCCTGTGACAATTTTTAAAGCTCTAATTAAGCAATGCACTTGGAGAAGGGAAGAGGTTGTTTCTTTTCAAAAATATAACCAAGACTGGTGCTTTTTTTCTTACAGCTTTTCTGGTTTTTATCAACGCATACTGACAAAAAGAGTTATGCTCCAATTTAAGGATACCCTCTGCAGAGCCAAAAAAGCTTCCAACATCTTCCTTCTAAAATACTAATAAGTAAAAAGATGGAAAGGTTGGAAAGACTGATTTGAACAAATTCTCCCACATCAACCAATACTCAGGTAAGAGACTCTGGAAAATCTCATTCAGTGATCTGGCAATGGTTCCTTCTGAATGGCTCATTCAGGAAGCAAATGATCCATTATCTTTGCAACAGAATTCTTAAGCCTGGTGACTAATCCTCCCACAGCCTGAATCTTGCCTACTATACACTGCGTTCTTGTCTAATACATTCTCCAAACCTTCCTCTCATTTCTTATTTAAGCCCATCAGAGACCATGATGTATTCTATCAAAGACAACACTGTACCACAGAGCTACTAAGTAAAAGTATGTGTGGGGCAGGGGTATGCAGATGAAAAAATAGAACAGGGGCCTCAACAGGTCTTCTAGCTAACACTAACTAGAAGGAGTTAAAAACAAACTTTACTAGAGAGATTCCTCTGGGAAACAAGTAAAGGACGAGGTAGAGAAAGAGGAAAAACGAAACAGATAAAAGAAAAGCACCACGTAGCTTTGGGACTTGCACCAAGAGATACTCTGCCCCTCTAATTTTTTTTACTGGGGCTGAGTTTACTGTCCCGATGGGCTGCTCAGACAACAGAGCAGTGCTGCTTGTCCCTCAGATGCAACATCTTTGGTTCCCTTACCAGGAGCCAGACGTGATATATGCACTGCCAAATGAAGACATGACAAAACAAGCTCCATCACTCCGTAAACTAACAAAGGAAAGTTTTGTAAAAATAGTGAAGACAATAAAGACAATCATAATAACCAGAAGAGTATTTACACAAAGCCAATAACATATATCAAAGTCCATTTCACAAGAATAAATAAGAAATGAGATGCATTTGACTATTTTCTGTACATATGCGGCCCATGGTTTTATTTCAATGCTCACATTATTTCCATAAAGAACTGGTTTCAATTTAGGGATAAACATCCTATACTTGTACTGGTTTTTCAAAAACCATAGCCCAAGACATATTTCAAGATCTTTCTTTGCTATCTTGTTTACTTTATCTATCACCAGTATGCAGGATGGTGAAAAGATCACTGTTTTGCTTTTTTCACTGACAGCAGTGTTTTTTTGTTTTGTTTTTTTTTCTTAAATTCTTTTATTGGTACATTGTAGGTATACAACACAATTACATTTCTCATTGGGAACTTATACCTTTACATGATGCATCATGGTTATTATTTTTCCCCATTCCTAGCCCTCCCTTCACGCCCTCCACCCTTCCCTATTTACAAAGACTTTATTTCCATTTTTTCCATTTCTCAGCATTTTTCCTTTCCCTTCTTTCCTTTCCCCTGCCCCTCCCACTGCCCCTACCCCTTTGGACCTTTTCTTCCTATTTTGCATTATTGATTATTCATTCTAATCATTGGTACATTTTAGGTATACAATATAATGACATTCATCATTGGAAATTTGCACCTTTACATAATCTCTCTTGGTTCTTATTTTTCACCCTTGCCCAGCCCTGCCTTCAACCCCTCCATTCCTCCCTATTTAACAAAGATTTTGTTTCTATTTTTCCATTTTCTCAAATTAATTCCATTCCCTTCTTTCCTTTCCCCTACCCCTCCTACTTCCTTCCCTTTTTCCCCTTTTCTTCCTATTTCACATTACCTATTATACATTTTAGTCTACAGCAGTGTTTTGATAAGAAACTTATTTCTGTTCTTCTTCCCTGCGGTAATCCAAGTACACCAAGGGTTTCTACACTGTACCTCAATCTTAGAGAATACATTTTAGCACTTCAATTCAATATATTTTCTGGAAACAGGTTGTCCTGAAGATGAAAAATATACACCCAGTCACTGTTACCTAATGACTATCCCACCTTTCTTGAAATATATCTGATTTCATTAATGCTAGTATTTATTACAGAAATTAAAATTCATCAACTGAAACAGCGTATCAGAGTTTCCACATCAATCACTGTTTCTGTAAACAGTGACTGAAACACTCAATAGTAAATCAAGTATGTAATTATTATATAAAAAATAACAAACCCTGAGACTAAAGAAGAATCTAGAAATATAAAAAATAATGAACAAAAAAAAAGCTCTTTCCTTTAGGCCACTGAAAAATTAGCTATACATAATGAGAAAAAGCATGTGAATAATCCTTTTAAGTTATAAAAGCAGAAAACATGTTATGGATATTCATGGCATGGGCATACAAATTTTGGCTTGGAGTCTGTGGGTTGAGAGGGAAGTAGGTTAGAGGA